GATATTTTAGTCTTTAGTTGTTTGCTGATAAATCAATAATTCTAGGTCTTGTACCTTCTCGGATGTTAGGATCTGATTATCAACGATTTTTCTAACATATCAGGAATTTAACAGGTGAATCAGTAGTTTGTCAGATTAAATACAAATTCTCAGGGTACTTTCACTATCAGGGTCATTTCAGACCATTTTTTTACCTCATATGGGTAATTTCATAATTTATTAACCAAGTGATTTCGGTATTAAAACTTTTAACAAAAATAATTAGAATTTAAAGATTCTAAGGTTGATTGATTTATCGGTTAATCACTGAACCTGAAATTATTTCTTATTAGTCTTCTAGTGTCTTATACGTGTAATCTGAGTCTTATTCAATTTAATTACTTTGCATCGCATTTGGATCAAGTTTATAAATATATTAATTACACACATGTAACCAAACATATTCATCTATGCATTAACCAATGGCAGCTTGTTACATAAAGCATACATAAGGTAGTAATATATTACCTCGATTTTTCAGCCATAACAGTTAACCAATTAAACTCCATTTGATCGCCCTCGAACTTTAATTACATGTCCCATAATTTCTTGGATACATGGCAAAACCAATTACATTAGAAATGAAACTTAAATGTGAAAATTCATATTGAATCGGGAGATAAAATGCCGAAAAATAGCTTATCGGGATTGGATTTGGCGAAATGGACTTTGGATTCTGACTCAAGATGTCAAAAAACATAAAATATGACTTTTCAAAAAAAATTGACTTTTTGGTCAAAGTCAACGGTTAACGATCAACTCTGGTCAAAGTCAACAGTTAGGTCAACGGTCAATGAGTTGACTCCACTCGAGTTGACTCAGTGAGTTGACTCATCTCGACTAGGTTCGGTCTGACTGGACCGTTTACAGAATGCTCCTGGACCAGTGGAGGAGCCCCACGCGCACTGCCGGCGCGTGCGGCAGCGACAGGGCTCATTTTGATCGATCAATCTTCCCTGGATCATCTACACACTCCAATTAATTATATTTCAACCCAAAATTGACCAAAACCAAGCCAACATATTTCGAAACACCACCAAGACTTACCTAAAATGGTTAGCGTCGAAAACGACGAAGACACGATGGCTCGTCGGTTGGGTTTCGAGCGCCCGGGGACGACGAGCAGAGCTACGGTGGAGGCGAAAGGACGATGGTGGGTGCTAGATTTTGCAATTAACCAAGGCGACGAGAGGGGTTTCTCTGACAAAGCTTCTTCAAATTTTTCGTGAAGATTGGTGGCCGATTATAGTGAGGGGTAAGGGGCTTTTGGTCGAAGCGAGGTGGCGGTTCAAATGGAGGTGGCAGTGACGGCTATGGAGGTCGAACGGTGGTGGATTTGGGGAGGGTCGACAGGGTGCGATTTAAGGGGTTAGGGATTTGGGGAAATTTGGGGATTGTGTAATATAACTCGATTTTAAACCAATATATTATATATTTATTAAAAATATCATCAACAATACCTTGCCTAAACAATTAGGGCATATATGACCTTATCTCAGGGATAAGGGTTCGAACCCTACAATCAAAAAGTCATTTCTTTTTATTTTTTTCTATGTCGACATAAAATGAGAAAAATTGGGGTTAAGTCCCTGAACTTCATGTAGCTTTATAAAATGGGTTGCAAGTTTCAAAAACTTGCAATTTGGTCCCTAATTTCATAAATTTAATTTTTTAATTTTTAATTTTTTATTATTTTAAATTAAATTTCGGGTGTGACAGACCTAACCCATATTATTATAGTTTACAGGTGGTGATACTTTGCGGGAATTATGAGTGTAGAAAGAAGAGGATTCATGCAATTGAAGGGTGCTGTGAAATAGGTTTCTCTTGTTAAAAGGGGAAGAGCAGAGGTAGGTATAGTAGTGGTCATAAAATGGGACCAGCAGAGTGTGTTAATGGATATGGCAGTAGATATAATGAAAACCAGAAGAAGATTGAAGAAATGGTAACACTGAGAGACAATAACGTGCTTCAATTCTAACCATCTAACATGTAAACCCCCCCCCCCCCTTTATTTGATGATTTTATATTGTTGCTCTGAGGGAGAGAAAAATCCCTTATGGTGGTGTCTGAGTCTGACAGTGGCACCAACCCTACCATTAACTCAAACAATCACAGCACCTCAAAACTTCTCCCTTTTTCCTGATTTTGTTTGTTGGGTATGAGATAAGATTGTTATTGCTTCTCCTTGAAACCTGTACTCTCTTCCAATGTGCAAGTGTTGATGCATATCAAACTTATGTGTCATGCAACTTAACCTCATTTTCTACGAATATGTTTAGAATTTTTTAATTTATTGATAATGCATATACATTTTATAGACACAATTATTCGAATTCAAAACCTCTAAAAAAATAATATTTCATTTTTTTCATCTAGACCACTTGATGGGTTTTTTCTAATTTGTTTAATATACATATATAAGCTAGAGCTCATCTTATACATTAATCTAATTTTAATCTACACTAAATGGTTTTAGTGGTAAAGTGAAATGTAATTTTTTTAAAAAAAACACATGTGCAAAGAGTTGTATTTATAAGTTAAGTGCATTGTCAATGATTGAAAATGATTCTAAATGAATATTATATTGTAATTATCCATGATTATTTAAAAGAAATGATAATATTCAATTAAATTTTTAGTGTAAATATTTCCCAGGGAAGATTGGGTGCATTGGATTCGGGAAGAAGAAATTGAACAAGTTCTAGGATGGGGAAGAAGGATGATTGATGCCATTCGTTTCTAGCGCTGGCAATGAAGTGGAATGGTATTATAATATGCCATTGTTTTCTAGGAACTCGAACAAATTCATAGATTCCATTTTGTTTTCCCCCAAAACAAAATTGATGCTTTCTTAGTCTCAAATATTCCATTACAGTAACTACTAGAGTTTCCCTGTTTCCAATGTTCCATCAAAATGTCACAGGCAACAGCTGTGTCTGCTGTAATATGCAGCAAATGGCACCAAAATCAATGATATGTGTTGACACAAAGTTCTTCCATCATGGTTTTCTTTTTAGCTTGATTGCATCTTTGCATCAAATTTTGTTTTTCCTAGTCTTTCTAAAGTAAATAAACATGATAAGTGCGCAACTAAGATAGAATTTATTCCAGTGCTCAGATGGCAAGCAAAGCAACAGAAACAGGGGAAAATATGTAAAATATTATAAAAGAACAGAGCAATCGTAAACAGCCCCTTCACTTAAAATAAATGAAGCTTTTTTCATATTAAAAGAGAAAAAAACTGACATAAGACCTGTCCCCCTCAAGGTTGCAATCAGCACAATTCATGTATGATTAGACCACATATAGGCAAATTGCAAGCTTTTCATTTCAAAAGCAAAAAGAAAAGTAAAAAGGTTGAAGTTTTGGTAAGGAATAGATCCCAATCAGCAGCTACTTATCTTTGGGTTTCTAAGGGAAGTATTCTTGGACAAATACTCGAATCAAACACCAAAAATATTTCCATCAGGTGGGCAGGTTTTTTCATCTCAAAAAGAAAAAAAAATACTTATTAATTAGGGTAAAGTGTACAAATGGTCCCCGATTATGGGCACTATTTTATTAAATTCTTTAATTATTAAAAGTTACATAATGATCCATCGACTATAGGACGCTACTTTGTTAAGTACATCGACTATTAAAAGTTACAAAATTGTTATCCAACTATTCATATGTTTCATACTTGTCATTTTTCGTTAAAAAATTGACAATTGTTTGAGTTGGATGTTAACCCGTCGACTAAAATATGATAAAATCTAATTCCAAAACCATTTGACTTGTATAATCGTTTTGAGATTCTAAAATCAGATTTTATCATATCTCAGTTTAACATCCAACACAGAGAGTCATCAAAGTTTTAACGAAAAAATAAATTTGAAATATGTCAGATGAATATTTTGTAATTTTTAATAGTCAAAAGACTCAACAGACAATGACTTATAGTTGAGGAGTTATTTTATAACTTTTAATAATCGAAAAAATCAACAAAACAATAATTAAAAAAATATTTATGTTCTTTATCCTAAAAATTAATGTATCTGAACTTGGAAATTTTTCAGATACTGATATCTGATTTTGTCTTGTATTAATGGGAAATGATCACGTACGGCAACCTTAATATATGACTAAAAAAGGCGTTACTGGTTTTGTTATTATTTAAATAACAAAACCGATAAAAAATTACCGAAAATATTATTATTTCTACCGATTTTATTATTATTTCTACCGATTTTATTATTTTTTCTACCGATTTTATTATTTTTTTTACCGATTTTATTATTATTAGGTACTTTATCGAAAATGTTAAAAAATATTAATATTTTAAATAAAAATAATAATATTTTAAATAAATTTTTATCGATTTTATTATTTATATAATAACAAAACCAATAATTATTTTTAATTATATATTAAGGTGCGACAATATAAAACTTCCTTATATTAATATCTAAACTTTGGGAAAAAGAAATATCAAATTTATACACTGTGCTGATGTGATATTTCAAAGGTAATAAAGTTGACACGTGACAATTAATTGTGTCATCATTTTGACCGCCAACGCCATGTCAACAACCTGATTGGTTGTACATGAGTACTATTTGAGAACTTTTTCAAGTTTAGATCCCAAATTTAAGAAAAAAATCAGGTTCCAATTTGAGGAAAAAAAGTGTTCAGGTACCAATTTGAGAAAAGATATCAAATTCTATACCTGTTTGTATAATAAGCCAAATAAAAAAAGGAATCTTCACTGATTTTCACACTTGTCTCGTCAGAATTCAATGAATCTACAAAATGCATTTCTCTTTTGGACAATCTTCAACGAAAGTTAAAATATATGCAACTATTACATTTAAGTTGCCATCATGCAAAATATTTCACTATTTACACAATAATATATATAGTTAGTAATTCAGTGTTTCAAATGCCAATAAAATACCATACGGACAAGCAAAACCTCTGATTATAACAATTTTATTATTCAATAAAGCAACATCTATTTACAAATACTTGCTGTATGAACAAATTTAATATTTATGTTGATGGAAAAAAATAAGGTACAACAAAATACCTCATGGGAAGATCCAAATTTAATGTTCATGTTGATGGCAAACAAAAATTAAGACGCAACAAATTACCTCATGGGAGGACTCGGGGCTTCTGTGAACTGCTTCGAGGGATAGCCAAGATTGCTACAAGTCCACCGGTGAGGGCTGCAACACCTCCTACAGCAAAAGCCGGCGAGTTTCTACCACCAAATAGTTGATCCCATGGTCCACTTCCCAGAGACACCACAACCTGTTATTATACGCCAATGTTTCGCAATTTCAATTGCTTGAAAAAGGGTAATAGAAGAACATCCATAAAATTAAACGTAGCAAAATTATGGTGGACATTAAGTATTCATATTGGTTAATGATAATCCCCAAGGATAGAAGGCCTTTTAAAAGAACATACTTGATGCAGTTAAGGGGAATATATTGGACAAAGACTCGAACAACAAATGAAAATTGCCATCTTAATTCCAAAACAACACATAACCTTAGATCAAATGAGCAATATGATACATGAATTTTAATTTGGTGCAACTATATTCATGAAATATTGATTTTGATTCAATTCATAAACAATTAACCCTGTTGATGATGTGGCACCATTTATGTTTTATATATTTTGCATGCAAAAACAATTATATTTCCCCAATAAGAAAATAACTGGATTTTTCTTTTAAATGTCTACAACTGAATCAAAATCAAACTTTCATGGGTACAACTGAATCAAATTCAAACTTTCATTTGTATAATTGCACCAAATCAAAATTCACATGTCATATTGCACATTGTGTCAAACTTCAAGTATGATTTTGAGATTTATCCTTACAATTTATTATGCCAGATTTCAAAATAAAAGGCAGCATTTTGAATTTGCCAATCCTAGATCCAAATTTAATGTGTTTAGCATAAAGTTTAGCAATTTCAACAGATATGCACCGATAAAGCATTAAGTTTCAATTTCAGAGAAGTTTGAGCAAAGGACTCTAGTCGCAATATATCATGGAAATTGATAAAACTATAATAGAAAGGAAAAGTCCTTGATTAGTTTGTAAATATCATAGTAAAAGAGGGTCCTTGGTAACAAGAATAGATTTTAGGAAGGCGAATGCCGAATTTTCTCTTTGCACTAAAGTGGGGTCGGATTATTCTTAATGAAACTATGAACAAACAAAAATCAGAAGATGTTCCAAATCAGTTCCCCACACATATACAACACAGTTTTATACTAGCCATGCAATGATCTTTATTTTTCTGTTAGACTTCTAAGCCTCTTCTCCTAAATTACCAATGGTTTTTCATCCAAGATTCAAATTTCATCTTCATAATAAAAGAATTAATTATGTTTCTACTCATTAATGTTACGAGTACTCGAATAAATTATTAAGTCAAATGCATATCATGCAAAATGGTTAAAATATGTTCATAAGACCAAATAATCTCAAAAACAAGTTGTATTAAAACTATAATTTCCAGAAAAAAAGATATTTATAAAATATGAAAACTAAACTACAAGTTGTACATAAATTAATCATCCTCCATCAAATTGCTGATGTGGTTTTTCTAAGGATCATGATCAAATCCAGGGCTCCTTTCCCTATCATGAATCCACAAGGGCAGGGAGGGGAAATCAACAGATTTTAGGAACAGGGACGGGGAGAATTAATAAATAGCAATCAAGTTCACTTTGGCCCCCTTCCCCTCTACCAAAAACAACACAAAGAAAGAAGACAAATCACATTTAAAATGAGGTCTGGAGCAAAGTGATACCTGTGGAATGACAATAGCAAGATTTAGGACACCCATTGATAATCCTGTAGAAAACATCAAAGAGAATCAGTGCCTTAACTGCTTCTCCACAAAGACGCCCAAAAACAATTAACAATTCTAGATAGAAATAAAAAATACTCTACCTTGGCCAAGGCCCAATGACTCAATACGTGAGGCTATCAAGGCATATGGAACGCTATAAGTAATCTGAAACAAAGCACCAGCAGCAGCATACGTTCAGAACTTGCTGAACCAGCAGCATTAGTTGAATGCATGGAGAAAGAAAAAAAAGGATTAATCGGGACATTAGCAAAACCAACCTAATGTTGGTCCCTAACATAATTTCAGCCTGTATTAAGATCCAACTACCATACTAATAATATTGACGTATAATTATAGTCAATACAATTATTAAGCATTCAAAATTTAGGCAATATAAAATGGGAAATTTAACCAATATAAATTTTACACAGCTCTGTGTATCAAATAATAACCCTATAAAATAACATCATTTACAGACAAAACAGAGATAATAAATAAGAGTAAAGTGCAATAACAATATAACAAAAGTTGAGCTCTAATACCATGTTAAGCATCCAACCTAAATGCAATAGGTGGACAGACCAACTTAAATATAAGACCACAGGCAATCTAGGGTTTAACCAAACAATAACACCACTTAAATAAGTGTCAACGTTTTAGTGCTTTCATGCCACAAGACTTGCATGACGTTTCATGTTTAAAACCAAGAAAATCATTCAAATATATAGTCATAGAGAAAGAAACTGCTATCTACATGACTTCTAGACACATGCAATTAGAAGTCACATGAATTTCTATTGGAGAAAAGAGCAGTTTACCGCCAATGGAGCACCAAGGATGGAAAAAATCACTAGTGCACTAATCACAATGCCAACTGGGGGTAGACCATGGCCAATGTAATCCATATGATTTGCCACATAGGATAGAATCAGCATTGAGAGAAAGCACAGAGCCATGAGAATGTTGGAAACTCCCCAGATAAAACCAGCACCCCATTTGCTACAAAGCTTCTCCATAAGCACTGAAGTGATTCCTAGAACAACTGAATTCAACATCAATCCTAGTGCACCCATTCTAACCCCAGCATTATAGTTCTGCCCCACATTTGGTTGACCACCATAGATCTCTCGACCCATCCAGTCGGTATCAAAGAGAATAAAAGGGAACCATCCTATCCAATTCAGTACAGTAACAGACAAGATAATCCATACAGGTCCTGAGAAATATCTAAATGTTCCAAATAATTCCCATAGAAAAGCTTCTTCAGCATGGCCACCTGACTGTTCAAGCCCCTCTTCGTGAAAGGGTGTAGATCTATCACCTGAACCTAGAGGTACTTCCTTAGCAGCTAAAATACTTAGATATGTTGTAATTGCAATAAAAATAATGTCTAGATAGAAAGCAGACTTAAGATTCGCACAGTCAACATCACAGGCAGCTGTCAAGGTAAATGGAAAAATCTTAAACCAACCACTATATGCTCCTGTTGCATAGCCAAGAACATTGCCGATAGCCATAAATAAAGAGAAGTAAGCATTTGCTACTCGAGTTCTTCGATGGTCATTTCCTGAAATAAGAGGAAAAGATAGATGATCATGTGAATTTATAACTGGTTTCATGTTTTTATATTGATGTATGAAATAGTTGCAAGGAAAATTTTACTGGTATTTGACTATCCAAATAAACCCAAAGTGTTTTTCAAATTTATGTGTGTATTCGCACCGCAAAATTGTCACCGCAGAAATATCTTAATTTGTTTTCCAGTTAAAATGCAAACCCACAGACAACAAAAATCAAATATCTTCACTTGCGTGTATAAGATTACTTGTTTTCCACTTGAACATGTCCAATTCTAATTTGCATCCTACTTCATGAAATTGCAAGAGCTGTTAGTAGTCGATATATATAAACTATAAAGCTCTAACAAGTTAAAACGTAGAATACCAACAATATAATTGCTGAAAAATCTTTGAAGGATTCATTCTTGAAGGAAATGAACTGATAATATAAGAGTTAAAATGATCTGATCAAGTTCCATTTAATAAGACCTTAAATTGGTAATCGCTTATTAACTTCAATCCTTAAGTGGCTCATTGCACTTGCAAACCAACCAAAACTCAGTTGAAGCAATCAAAAAGTCCATCAAACTGTACGGAAACAAAATTTGACAAAATATTTATAGCAACTAAGAAATAATTATAAGCAATGTCATATGTGAACTCTGAAGGGTCACAACATCCACCAAATAATTATTCAAAAATTGAAAAAACGACAAGCACTAGAGGCGATCATAGAAAGATAAAATACCACAAATCTAAGGTAACAATAATTTTATATTCCATGATGACTGATGACTTCTTTGCTTTACTCTTTAAAAATATGCCACAGAAAACGAAATTATCATATTTTTTCCAATTACAAAAATACTAATTAACCTCTCTAAGGGTCTTAATTAATTAAAAAAAAACTAACCAGTAAGATCAGCAAGAAGAGCTCTACAAGGTCCTTGAGTGGTGTTATTAGCAACATCCAGAATCCAAAACCCGAAAACATACACTATTACAGCTCTTGGACGAGAGCTTTCGTTGTCGCCGAGCAACCATCCGATATCGGCGGAGTGACCGATGATCAAAACGGAAACGATAATCAAAACTGCACCAGCAACAATAAAAGGTCGGCGACGACCGAACTTGCTGGTGCATCGGTCGCTCATATGGCCTACCAGTGGCTGCACCAGGAGGCCGGAAAGCGGCCCGCAAAGCCATATGATGCTAGCCCACTGGTGAGGTATACCTAGCTCTTGAACGTAAGGTGTCAAGAGAGAAAGCTGTAAAGCCCATCCGAACTGTATCCCGCAGGCCACGGAAGCAACTCGAAACAGCTGCCGGAGCGGAATTCTAGCTCGAACCACCGGTCGAGTTGAAGAAGACGTCGGATATTTCCCTCTGGCCACTCGTTGACGGTCTGCTTCGGGGATCGGCATCACTGACCTTTGAATCTCAATATTCTTCTGCTCTTTAGTACCGCCTGAACCGGATTTGTCGGTTGTATGGTCGGAGAAAATTGAGATTGAGTTGAGAGATAGTGGAAAAGGCGAGTGGCAGGTTAGACTCTGATACTGACGGGAGAATCAGCACATAAATAGAAAGAGGCTTAGAACTGAACAAAAATTACAAAATAAGCCAGGTTACAATTGGCTAGAAACTAGATTACTGTGCAGGACAGACTCGGAAATTTGTCTAGGTAGAGGGCCAATATCGTTTCATAAATCTATCTTATTGCCTGCTTTCGGACTACCTCTCATATTTAAGGATTTTGTTTTCTCCCGACACAACAATAATAATATACATATGGTATTGTTTTGTGGATTTCATTTTGTATCCGTTTTAATTGAAGCAGGAATGGGTATAATTTTAGCGGGTAGTGGGCGGGTGTGAATTTATAAAGTAGTACCCGTCGTGGGTGGTGGGCGGGTAATGGGTTTGAGACATTACCCGCCTAGCATCCGCCCGCTCCGCATCCGCCAGCCCCATATCCTCCCGCCCAGTTAAATATCTATTAAATTTTGGACCATTATGAATTTAGGTGTAATTTTAGAGACTAATTTATAAATTTTAATATTGTATAAATATATAACATATAATTTAATCAAATATTAAAGATATTTAGTCTTTAATTTTGTCTTTAATTAGGGAAATATTCGGCTCTTTGATTAAACTCATAATCTCACTAACCACATCACTTTTCATGTTCTTTAGCCCATGTTGCCCATCCAAACACAAATTAGCCGTACTATAAGCATTAACATCAAAAGCAGCAGTTTTCATGTTCTTTAGCCCCTCAAAACCCATATTAGGCGTACTATGAGCATTAACATCGAAAGCAACACAACAATCCAGCTCTACGACTACATGCTCCCTACAATATGTCTCCATAACATTCATAGAGCCACTCCTCTGACAAATTGAAGCATGCGCTGCTACCCCATCACGAACTGTCAGGGAACCAACTCCAACATCCCATTAGTTTGCTGTCAGGCGGGTCTAGATGGGTATGTCGCTAGTGGGTAGTGGGTGTGGGGATGGATTTGAAAATGTACCCGCGTGGGCGGGTGTGGATTTGAAAATTTGTACCCATCATGGGTGGTGGACGGGTGGTGGATTGAAAAATATTAGGTGGGTATGGGGATGAGGGAGGGGGTATCCGCACCCGCCCCGCCCGTTTGCCATCCCTAATAATAAGAAATAATTTCGATATATGCTTATGTGAGCCCTTAAACTTTTTCGAAAAAATTAATGTAATCCTTAAATTATTTTTAAACTCAATATGAACCATTGATCAATGGTTTCTATCGTTGACCATTATCATGCTGATGTGGTCGTTCACGATTTTGACATAACAATGAACAGTACTGACGTGACGGTCTACAATGGTTGATGACATGACAATAGACTAAATTAAATTTTTTATCGAGCTTGAAGATCAATTTGACCCTTAAACTCGATAAAAAATCAATTTAGCTCATCTGCCATGTCATCAGACATTGTGAACTATCACATCAATATCGTTAACCACTACGTCGGATCGTGACCTGTCATATCAACATCGTAACAGTAAATGACATAAACTATTTTTCAAAGAGTCACATTAGATTTTCTTTTAAAAAATTGAGGGTCACATTAAGCGTAAAAATAATTCGAGTGTCACATTAATTCTTTTAGAAAAATTTGAAGGCCTCGCATACCATCAAGCCTGTAATTAATTATACTTGCTAAAAATATGAATTAAATTTGAATTAAATTTTAAAATTTAGAATAACCTAATTAAGTCTACAAATTAAAAAATATCTAGATGCGTAGAAAAAAAGTCAAGTCGTGTCTATATATATATATATATTATTGCTTTTTATACTTGACAATTGGATAGAAAAAAGGGTAAACTGCAAATTTCAATCACTAAATTTTACTCTCTCTCCTATTTTGTTCATTGAACTTTGAAAGTTTTAAATTTACTCACTAAACTTAATACATTGGGTTTTTTTGTCACTGAATTTTACTTTATCTCCTATTTTGGTCACTCCGCCGTTAAATAGTTAATGGCATTAAAACGACGTTTTAAAAAAAAAACAAAATTTTCACAAAACGATGTCATTTTACATCTATATAATAGTCCATTTTAACGTCGTTAACTATCTAACGCCCAAGTGACCAAAAACCCAATGTATTAAGTTCAAATTTGAATTTGGAATTCATTAGATCATATGAGATACTAAAGAGAATTAGGCTAATGGCTTATAAGTTAGCCCTATCACTAGAGATAGAGTGCATTCTCAATATGTTTCATATTTTGATTCCTAGGAGGTATTTCTCATACCTTAATATTATTCTAATCGAGTCTATTGAGGTGAGTCATGATTTTTCATATAAGAAAGAATATTTAAGAATTCTTGCTGAAGAATTCGAGGAATTGTGTAATAAGAAGATACCCGTAGTGAAAGTCCTAAAGATAAATCGCAGTCATAAAAAAGTCACTTAAAAATCAAAGGAATCAATGGATATTCAATACTTGTATCTTTTTATTTCAAGTAAATTTTAAGGATCAAATTTTCCTTAAGAAGATGATAATTTTAATTAGCCAAATTTCTAAGTTAACATTTTTATGTTGGCCCGAGCCATAAAAAAAATTATGTTGGAAGTGTATTTGGGTTCATTTTGTGTCAAGTTTAAGTTAAATTGGTTGAAAATTAGACCTAATTAAGTATAAAAACAGGATTATGAACTAGAGATGGAAGGGGATGACAAAAAGGGTAATTAACCTATATTTTGAAAAGAAGGCTAAATATCATTTATGTTGGCTTATTTTATTATTATTATTATTATTATTATTATTTTTAGATTAATCCGGAGTAAGTAAAATGCAATATATATTCAAAGATAACTCTAAATTATTTGACATAGAACGCCCGTGCCTTTGACATTTGTGGTGTTCAAATCTGATACCTTAAGAAATAACAACAATTCCTAAACTACCAGTGACGCTTCATTCATATTACATTAACTTATTTTAACGTAAGTAAAAAGGGGTCAAAAGATGATTCATGAGCTCATATCCTTCTTCATCCAACTTTTCTCTGGTTTCATTCTCTTTTTCCCCCTTACAAACCCTATAGTGTGGCCATTAAAAGAGCAAATCTTTTCTTTCTAATCATCCATCTGAGATTGAAAAAGGTCAGAATTATCACCTTCATTACATGAACTTCAAGAAAAGCTCACCATTTTCTTAGAAGGTGGGTATTAAGCTACTTGAAAGGTTTATAAAGGGTTTAAGATCATGAGACCTTTTTCATATTATTTTTACTATGTTTTATATTTTAAATTCAATTTTGTTAATAAAATCAATTATATTTTAAAATTATACTTAGCTTCAGTTTAGATCATTTTAAATAATTTATTTGAGTCACTTCGAGCTCGAATCACTTTGAATTTAATTTCAGATCAATTTTTAAGTTCACGTAAATTTCAGATTTTATATATTTCAGATCAATTTAAAGTTTGAGTTAGAAACAAATTCAAAATATTAGCTTTTAGTAATCAAATCAGACTAAGATAGATTTAATATAATATGGTCTAATTTTCAAGTCCATTCAAATTTTACAAGTCTAGTTATCAATTAGGTTGCATTGATACAAATATGATAATAATATTAATTATTTCTGATAAAAATATAAGGTAAACTACAAGTTTAAGTATCTAAAGTATTGTTTTTGTTCCATTATGCTATTTAAACTTTATTATTTTTTAAAATCATATTTAATATTTAGTTTATGTTTCAAATTAGTACTTTGTCATTAAAAAATTGATAAAACTATTAACGTAACATTTATTATTTTTAGTGATGATGTGACATTACATTATGGTGACGCGTTAACATCACCGTTAAGATTTTAACGACGGGATACCAAAATGAAATATAAAACTAAACATCATGTATGATTTAAAAAAAATAAAGTTTAAATACAACATAACAAAAGTAATATTTTAGATACTAAACGCATAGTTTACCCAAAATATATAATTAAGAAAACATTAATGACTGCATTTGAGTAACAATATCGCAACATGTTTTATATGACAACAAATTAAGTGGGACAGATTGGTTGGCAACATGATTTTGGCAAGCCTGCCTTTAATTTTGCCCCATTTTCCTTTTTTTTCTTTAATATCTTACCTGCCGTCCATTGAATGGGACTGCGGGGACCCTACGTTTGATCACCTTTTCATTTCAATTATTTAATTTAATTAGCAAGTGGCTTGTAAATTAAAATTTGGTGTTTAAATTTTAAAATATTCTTATTAAAATTTTAAATTATCATTTTTATTAAGTTAGCATCAATTTAAATATTGAATATTAACTCATATTATTGATAAGTATAAGCTCGATTGATATTATTTTTATTGCAATATTCAAAAGGTTGTAAGAATTGCAATTTGTACTTGAAGAGTATCCAAATTCGATAATAAATATATTTAAAATATGTGAATAAATTTTTAAATAGTTATATACTTATTATATGAATATTTTAAATTTGACATGATTACAATGATAGTTCTTTTAAATTGTAATGATATTATCTTTTTAACCTGTCATATCAAAGTCTATTTATGTAATATATGTACATATATTTAAATTTTGACTAATGCATTTTAAATATGTTCATGTAGATTCGAGTTAATATTTTCTGCCCAAACTTATGGCTAGAGTAACAAAAAAAAAAAACTTGTTTGATACGATACTGATGCTTTGAGGACTCAATTAGAATACTTTAAAATTAAAAACATATAAATTGAAAATTTTCCAAAATTTAAGGATGTTTGATGTAAGAGAAATTCTACAATATGACACCTTTAATATACAACTAAAAAAAGACGTTACCGGTTTTATTATTATTTAAATAAAAAATCGGTAAAAATTTATTTAAAATATTATTATTTCTACCTAAGACATCAATGTTTTTAACATTTCTGGTAAAGTGCCCAACAATAACAAAACCGGTAAAAAAAATAACAAAACTGATATAAATAATAATGTTTTCAGTAATTTTTTACCGATTTTAT